ACTATTTTGCACGCTGGCTCTAAAGATCGTTGGATTCCAAATGGACTTTCTCTGTCTGCGAAAAATATTAAAGATTCTTCTCTGGATTACGATGAAGACACCACCGCTGATTTATTTGAAAGTTGGTGTAAAAACAAACTAGTTCCAAACATTCCTCCTAATAGCGTAATTATAATGGACAATGCAAGTTATCACAGTAGACAGTTGACTAAAACCCCTTCATGATGTGACACAAAAGCAACAATCCAAAACTACATGTATAATAACGACATTTATTTTCACGAAGATTATACCAAAAAGCAATTAATTGAGGTTCTACAAAACTGGAACCTACAAAAGGAATACATCTGTGATAATTATGCAAAAACTTTAGGGCATACAGTTTTAAGGCTTCCACCTTACCACTGTATATTTAATCCCATAGAAAATGTTTGACACCAACTGAAATCTGCCATTCTTCGTAACAATGTTTTCCCCGTGTTAACTCCAATGTCCTCAAACTTATAGAAACCGCAGTTTTTAACATCCCTCCACCAAGATTGGGCAAATTCTCTAAACATATAGAACAATCGTATATCCATATTGCAAATAATATAGAACAAATAATAATTAGAACAGGCGATGATAGCGATAGGGATACTGATATATTATGTGAATAATTTTAAATAATTTAAGTAGGTAATAAAAATAATTTGTAATTTTATTTTCTATTTAAACATAAATACATACATTAAAAAATAAATATTGTTTAGTATCTTTAATAACAAAACCCCAAATAATTAAATTCTAAGCAAAGTACGGACCTGTTCGGCGATATTTCATTCTTACAACTTGAACGGGTCTTTCCTTAATTCGTATCAGTTAGTCACTTTCTTATATCTATAAGCAGACTTTACCTATTAATGGTTGATCCCGGTTAAATGAAATGGCAACATCAGCGCTCACTCGGTATATATCACTAGGTTCGTTAAAATTCCATAAATCCTGACGCCGGTGCGGAACAGTTGGTGTTTCTTTTTTTCGCGAGCAAGTCCGTCAACAAAAGCTGTGGGCCCGGCTTGGGAAATAAGTAGGTCTGTCGTGTGGGCGCAGTTTAGTCGCAGATTTGTTGAATAGAAACGCTATACGGCCGGAGAGATGACCTATGACAGCCTGGCCCGGAAAAAAGCGACCTTATTTCATACCTCTTCCGGACACCTGAAGGTTAACATAGGCAGGGCATTGTTTTAGCGATAAAAGTCCACTTTGGAAATCGTATCTGTCGATCGACGAACGAGACAGTTATAATTGGGCGCCGTTTTGTTTTTTAAGGAAGGAGCATAGATATGTAGAGTGATTGTGCGAAAATTAATTACACAACCTTGACCATAATTTTATGATCTTCTTTCTGTTGATAGGAAAATGCAAGTCCAATGCAAAATGCAACTTGTAGAAGTAGAATTATGAAAAAATTGAAATTTTTTAGAAAATATTATCATAAATTAAGTGAGAGCGATAGTTATAAACAAAAGTTTGCATTATTTTTGTATTTAAAAAATCAAAGTCAATCACATTAAATTACATTAATAATAAACAATGAACTGCAAAATCAGGACAACTGAGAGTGCCCGAAAATATTATTAACGGTACGTTTTTGACCACGTTGTAGAACAAATTATACAGCATAGTGATGGCGTGCATACTGGCATTTTATAATCTAATTCTAATTCAATATGATTTACCAAGGTAACCAGAGTGACTTAGAATTGAATTTGAAATAAAATTGGGCGTGTTCTATTGGAAATTCCAGTGGCCACCTGGCAGCGCTACATTTATAAAAAACATTTTTTAAATATACATTTAGACCAATTATTTTCGTAATCCGAATTTAATAAAGATCTTTTTTAGCTGCCAAAAAGGTTATTGCTTCGAGTAATTATTTGGTTTCTCACTTATTCGCATAGGACAGTTTCGTGCTGCTGTGTGGGTTATTGTAGCTGATATTGTGAAAAACATGCGTATACGAGAGTATGGGTTAGGAGCTGGATTAAGCGTCGGAAAACTTTCAGAGCATCTGTCCAGCTTTAAAAAAAAATGCAAATAAAGATCCAGAACATAAATAGATGAGATTATCTCCAGCAATGTTTCAGAAATGATTAAACCAAAGCTGACAAAATCAGTATAATGACTGCTATTTCTGCTAGGAACCAGTTGGAGGTAACATTGCGATGCCTACTTAGTGGAAATAGTTTGGCTTTACTTTTTTACCAGAGATCCTTTTGGCAATTTATGAAGCTTTTTAATTAATTTATGTGATACTTTGAACATATATCCCATGATATATCTATATATTTCATAAAAATTAAGGAATGTTGTAGATAACCTTGTCCATTTCATAATTTTAAAATTATATGTAATATAAAATTCAATCGATTTATGTATGACTATTTTCTAATTTTTATTGGAACTGAGAAATATTCACCGCAACTATCTAAAAAAAACGGTTTCCATGCAGGCAGCTATTTGTCGAGACACGCAAACTAGCCACAAAACTAGCCGGCGCATACTAGTGCGAAATATGGAAATAACAACTTACCTTAAGAATTGATCCATGTATCAAGCTAGGGTTGATCTTACTTAGTTTGAGATGGAAAAATATATACAAGAGATAGTGTAACTAGAGTTTAGGCCGACGTAAGCTCACCTCATAAAATATGCGTGGTACAATAACAATTACTTTGAACCGCTTTGAAATATATAGTTTAACTTGATCGCTCCATTTTAGTGGCACGTATATTGAACTAAGTTTGAACAACCGGGAATATATACAGACTGTGCTACCCTAGAACGTAGGTGTCGTCAAGATATTTCCATTAGTTTAATCAAACTATTTTTTTTTGTACTCAAGGGCATTTTTTTTGGCCTATTTTGTGTCACTATTTCCTGCGCCTGCTATATTTCGCTGATGACGCACAAAACAAAGTAGAAACAAGTTTATTTGAAGAGTTAGAATTATCTAAAACCCCAATATAGCATATTTTGTGTAATTTTCAAAATACCTTATTTAATTCTATTTTTTTAAAGATTTTTTTTATTTTTAATTAAAATTTGGAATTTTCGAAGAATTTTTTTTTGGATTTGGAATACATTGCTCATGGGGATCGTTTCATGGCTGGCGTTGAAAATATAGTACTTAAAATCAACTAAGTAATATATAGTAGATAAAAATGCTTTAAAAATTCCTATAGGTCAAACATAACATCATGTTTAGCGAAATTTTAAAATCCGAGGTCCTGAAAATTATAAAATAAGGAAAACAGCTGGACCAGATGATATCTATGTAGAAACAATAGAACTGTTAGACGATGATAACAGATTTTAGTGTAAATGCTAGTAGTTGCTATAAAAATAATTCATGGAAGGATCTACATTAAGGTTCTGAGACGTATGTGAACGGTAAGGAAATTAATGCAAATAATTTCCTTACCTGAAGTAATAATTCCTGAAGTAAATAATGGAAGTGAAGACTGAGGGAAAACGCGAAATCGTCAGTAAAAAATGTTCACGGTTTTAACATTTTAAAGACTGGTATCGATGCTTACTCACTCTTTAGACCTGCACAGGACCGTGAAGAATTTACCAGAAATGTCGCCAACTTCCACTAAATGGATATTGCACCTTAAGAAGAAAAATATAAAGACAAAAATATTGTTTTATATTTTTGAGGTCTAGTATTGAAGAAAACAAACCGCATCGAGTAGCTTATTAATCCTAGGTAACAAGAAAGTAAATTCGAAAACTGTTATATAATAGACTCCATGAAATTAAGTTTATCAATTTGAAAATCGCGTGTGGCATCACCCTGAAATATATGTGATTTTATCAAGCATTTTTTAATGCTTCTCAAAACATATTTCAGTCAGAACTTTTGTAAATAGATATTTAGAGATATCCACACCAGAAAACGAGTTCGATTTTGCTTTAAAAAGTGTTTTACCCATTAGAAACATCAATTTATACCTACTATGGCGAACTATATTATCTAATGGCTATATGGTTTTCCCCCTAAAGCTACTAGACACATAGAAGCCCTCAATTACGCTGACAGGAACTCATGAAGCAACCATGTAATTTTTTTTTTGAGAAGATCCATTCATTGTGCGCATGCGTGAGATTTAAAATTTCGTTTTTAACTAATGGCAGCTCTAATGACAATTTTGAACAACATGGCCGCTGACAGATCGTCTATGTTTGAACGCGGCATATTTGGGCAGCATTTTTTCAAAATATATCAAAATCCTACTAAATTTTCAGACAAAAAAGGAGTTGAGGTCTGAAGAAGCATTGCAGAATTACAACACCCACATGGGCGTCTGTATATTCTGCAATTAATTTGACGTTTTTGTTCTTCAGGCCCTGTAGATACGATGCAATTTGCAACATGTATTTTTTTATGGTAGTTTCATAAACTCATAGGTTTAACCTCCATTGAAATAACTTTGAGATGCTAGATATCGCACATGAAACATCTAATTGAAAAAATGTTCAAGAAGCGCCTCCTACATTGACAAGGGATATTTCTTATGCTTGTTCTGGCAAAAATTCAACTTGCAGCTTAATTATTACCTGTGTACCTCAAAATTTAGGGAATTCTGTTTAGTAAACTCACATGTAAATATTTATGTACGTCTATTTTCCAACTTGTTAAGTATCAAATATCACTGTTTCTTTAATATCCTATTAGGTTCTCATATTTGCCACATTCGCTGTAATTTCGTGAAAGAACAAAATATTGAAAGAACAAATTATACAAGTTTGTGAGTACGGACACCAAAAATGAAAACAGCAATGGCACAGGGCACAGACTGTTCCGCGACCATAGTAATAACTTAGGTCTGCGTCGCCAATTATGTTCGGATTTCAGCGATTGATGTTGCGTTCTTATAAAAACTAATCAATATTCCAGAAAAATTACCGCAATGTTTTACGTCATCTTTGACAGGTGCGCGTTTGTGTTCCAGATTGACAATTCCCGAATCGTACTCGGGCTACTTCGAGCTGCTGAGCGAGGAAGGTCGGGCGGTTCGGTGCATCGAAAGCGTCGCCGAATTGGCGAGACGCAAACCCGAAGAGGGTTGCTTAGTGAGAGAGACGATTAGAGGAGTACAAGCCAAGACTGAACTGGATGGTTCCGTAGTACCGGAAGGTGCCCGGACCATTCCCGCGGGTGAAATACTAGTCCCCACCGGCGAAGCCGTTTTGCCAGGATCCAAAGGTATGGAATATGAATATAATATTAATAATAATAAAAAAAAGATGAGATACTCCTTCTATAGCCACAGGATATCCGAATCTATAACTAACTAAAATTCTTTATAATTCAATCAATTTGAAGAAAACAAATTCCAAAATTCAAAATCTTATCTTCAGGGAGTTCTTTTTTTTCCAAACTCAATAAATCTTAGCTACAGTTGATATTTGATATTGTATTTAGGTATAGTCTGTCTCAATCTTCATCGTGTTTTCTCTCGACGGACTCTCCCCAATAAAATTTTATTGAGTGAAGCCATTAACAAAAAATGTATTCGTACTTGAGTGACAAGGCCAAGATATGCCAGGTATGGTCTGTTCATAGAGATAACAAAGTGACCAATTGCTTTTGAATGGGATTATCCAAGGGTGGTCATTCACATACAATGCAACAAGATTATTACCTAAAGTTTCGGAATTTAAATTCAGGTAAAATTGTGGTCCGCAATAGAAAATAATTTTCTACCTACCTGTGTTTAATATTTTTTGGTTTGGTATACTACTTAGTTTAAGTTTATTAGTAGCCATTCTTATTTCGTGTGTAATACAGCGTGTGTTGAATCATGTGCGAATTATGCAAAATATGTGCGAGTCTAGTGTATCTCAGGAGATGCTCCCGCCCAAATGTAGAAAACACTATTCTCTTAAGACTAAGACTATTAAAACTATTTGACTCTCATTGAACGTGGTGCCAGCAAGTACCACGTTCAATGAGAGAAAAGAAACGGCCACATTGACGAAAATGCCAACATCAACTGTAACGAAAATTGTGAATAATCCCATTTCAGCGAGGAAAAAAAGAAGCGGTGCGAGTGTAGATGAAAGTGATCAAGATATAAATACGGCGTAAAATTTACCAGGTATAAGAGGAACAAAGCGTGCCTACATTAGATATCTTAATTAGGAGGCTTGAAAAAGATGAAACATGTTTGGCACCAACTGAAATCTGTCATTCGTCGAAAGCACCTTCAAATAAAGGAAAACGCGTCACCATAATACACGCTCTCTCAGAAGACGGATTTGTCCCAAACTGCTTGCGGTTTTCGGTTTTCAAAAACTGAAATCCAGGAAGATTTGTTAGTAAATGATATTTATTTTGAATTCAGTTAGAAAAAAGCGTAACTTTGCGAAGTCCTACATTCATATGCAATTAAAAAACAGTATGTAAGCGATAATTTGGCTGAAAAGACTGGCCACGTCTTCAGCCATCTCATTGCATGTTTAACCCCATAGAGCATTTGTGGAACCAAGTAAAATCAAAGGTCATAACACAAAATGTTACTCCTCTTTTAATTACCAGTGTTATAAATTTGATAAATAACATACCAATTGAGAGCTTGAAAAAATCAGAAAAAAATTGAGGACTCTTACATTTCTATACGAAATAACATAAATTCTATTATAATCAGTCTCAATGATGATAGTGAAACAGAACTAGAGATTTTGACATTTAGAATAAAAATGTAGTTATGTATAGATATTCCTAGCTATGAATTTATTGTATATATTTAATGTCATTGTTTTTTCTTAGTTTAATTTAATAGTATTATACCCAACTAAATAAACGTTTGAGATTCCGTCCCTAATGTTCTGACCCTTAATTCCTACCGGACCCGAGTTTTATTTCTGTCGACAGGTAACTTCCATAATTGCCGGCAAAAATCAGCACGAACTATACGAATAAAATGTAATAAAATATTTAATAACAAAAACGTTCCGCTAATTTGTATGGTAAACAAAATATTAAAAAATAACATTAGTTTAGTTACACGTGTTCCTTTGTAAAACGTGTGTAAACATGTATAATAAGTCATTCTGAAAATGGCTCGAAAAAAAGGAACCCATGGCCTGGAAAAATAGAAAAATATTCTATACTATCAGATGAGAGATGTTTAATGTCCATTAGAAAAATAAAAAATAATAATAAAATATGTCTATCTTTAAGTCGGCAGTCTGATATGTTTAATGGGCTAAAAAAACATTGACGTACCCAAAGTAAATACGGAAAATATTACTCACTTAAAAATGTTGAACTTAATTAAATATAAACAAAAATTATAAATTTCGAAAAGATCTTTATAAGAACCTGAACTTTGTTATGTTAATTGGTTGTCAAATATGAACAAAGCTTTATTTAGATTGCTTGTTTTCTTTTTAGAATATGTTTCGGGATTTATAAATTTTCTAATTTTTTTTAATAAGTATAGTAAAAAAAAAGTATTTTGTTTCGATTTTTCCTTTAATTGTTCTTATTTTCTTTATTGTCCTGCAATGTATGTTAATATATAGACTGTTTAATTTTTTTTGTTAGCGGTTATTAGTGGAAATTAGTTGAGATTTAAGTGGTATTTGGTGGTAACTGGTGGTAATTAGGGGTAATTTTTGATATGTTATTTTTATGTATATCCAAATTTTTGCAAATTCGAAACAAACAGCAGAATGACTCGGGTTAAAAAAAATAATAAAAATAAATTCATAAATGGCTGCTAGGGGGCCTCTTGGTCACGAACACAATATAAATCAGGTTTTCCCTATAATTTGCATAGGTAAACTATGTCGACACTAGTTTTACTCGATTCTCACGTAAACCATGATCAATTTTTGTAATCTCTTCAAATAAAGTAGTAGATGAGCGTGAACTTGAATTTAGAAAAACTCTCATAACTTTGGTCTTATTTGAAAGACTGATTTTTTTGTTTCGTCTTTTTAAATTATACTATTGCCGCTAGATGGCCTTAACTGTCGTTCTAACTTATTAATGCATTTTTTCGAGAAAAACAAATCTAAACATATATTTCTACACATTTCGCTAAGAAAATGTTCTCTCTAATTTCTTCAGTGGGGTACTGGGAGATATTTTAACAAATTGTATTAACAAAAAAAAGGTACGCCACTGGCTTTTGGTATTTTTATTTATTTGTTTACATTAAGCAAAGAAAAATAAAACTTTTTTTATGTCTTCGATTATTTTCGAATATTTCTTCGTTTACGAAAAATAAGGCAGTTCGAACATCATCAAAATTTTTATTTTTATTCTAGAAAACGACGGAATACGATAAGAATTGAAGAGATAAAAAAAGTTTGATTTTAGATTACTCATTCCAAAAAGGAACTAAAATCGCAAAAGGGTCAGTGGCGTGTATTTTTCTGTTGATAAAATTTCTCTCGTTACGCCACTGAAATGCAGAATCGATTTTTTTGCTCAATGTAGAGAATTTAATTCTTATTTAAACTGAATAGAAACAAATGTACCATTACACTTGTATTACACAAAGTTTGGGTGCCACTTAGCGCCATCTAGCGGCAGCGGTATAATTTAGAAAGATGTAACAAAGAAAGACTTGTAGTTCCAATTACGGTCTTTCATGTGGCACCAAGTGCATTAAAATCGCTTCAGCTGTACCGGCATTATGAGAATTTTTCTAAACTGTTAAGGTTAAATCTCCCCAACCCACTTTATTTTACATCGGATAAAAATTTTCCGATGTTTTCCATTCAGACAGTATTGAAGGTTTTGCGTTCTCTAGCGACCATCCCACGACCTAAAAAATAATTTCCAGCATTTTCTTTTGATCACTTTTATCTTTTTTTTTTTAAATAAAACATGTTGTAATGTTGACTCGTTGCCGAGATACAGTCGCTTACCTCGCGTAATTGGCCATCCTACAAAAACCTACAACTTTTACTAAGTATATCAAATACCTATTTTTAATACTTTGCGATTTATTTTAACTTTTTCAATATTTAGTTGACCATGACAAAATGACATTGTCAAATTTCTACCTGAGAACTGTGTAAATAATAGTATACAACAAAGTATACAACAAGTGCGGTAAACGGCATTTGAGTTACGAGTTCATTTGGCAGGAGCGGAGCGAGTGTTTAATGTAAAAGTGACTTCTACGACCGTTAGTGTTTGCCTACATTTTTGCAAAACAACACGAACACAGTGACTGGCATGACCGTCACAATTGACAAACGTCAAAATTCAAGCCAAAACATACGATTGCTTCCAAATCCGTGCGGCATTATCCCGGAAATGTCCGAAGGGGCTCGGATCCGTGGGGACAAGAAACTCACGAGATGGTCGTATTTGTCCAAATGTTCATTTGTCCAAATCGTATCGGAGCGTTCGAGGCCAGCAAAGCGTTTACGTGGAGAAATAATTTTCCTCAATAGAGAATAATTATGATTTGTTTACATTATAATGTCTATTTAATAATATTTATAATGATTCAGCTTAGAAGATTCAGTTGCATTTTAATTAATCAAAGAGCCAAACCTGTCATAAATGTGTTTGTTTAAAGGTTCTCAATTATTTTAAATAAATCATTGCGGTCATAGTAAAATTGTATTTAGGTAACTTTTAAATTGCATACGGTGATTATCACGATTCATGAAAGGTTAATAAAAACTTGTGCCCAATTGTCCTCATAGCTAAAATTATTGATGATTTTTAAATTTATTCAATAAGCAATATGATTTATCAATAGGTAATAAAAAATTAAGGGACCAATATTTAAATCACGACAAATTATTTAGTTTGGTTTAGGCTTTCACTTCTCATTAGGTATTTTCATTTCACATTTCACGACAACCTAATTAAAGTGAGAATTATTTATTCCGATCTGTATTGACGGCTTTGTTCATCTTTGTCCAATATTTGAAATAGCGGTGACAACAAGTAAATTCTTTATTCACATTTGGACAAGTTAATCTTATGGTTTTTGATGCGTCTCAATCTACAAAACCAATTTAGTAATATCATTTGACAACGTTCTACGAGCCGACTCCTTGGATTAGAGTTGATTTCCCCACGTAAGGCGCTTGTATCTGTATGTCTTCGCCTAAACCTCCCTCTTTATTTGGTTAAATGTTTCGGGTGTTCGTCGCCGGTGCCTCGGGTGATTTGGACAAATGCACATTACAGCATTTGTGGTTTTCCCAAAAGTGATGTTTTCCGCA